AGATGTGTATAAGGTCTTCTTCTGCATGTGTGACAAACAAAATATAATTTGGCTATTACAATAATTGATAAAGACTTACAGTCGAAAGTACTCGATAGCTTCAAATAAATTTTGTGGCATATATCTGATACCGTTTGACTCGTTATTTATTATATGTATATTTGCCTATGCAGCACCACCCTTATATATAGTCCCTATATATATGTATATATATGTATATATTTTTTTATATTTTTTTATATGATATATATGTATATATATATATATACATATATATATATATATGTATATATAATATTGAAGGAAGTTAGCCGTTAACACTGCTGAATAAATATAATATAAATCATCAAAGGTACATATACAGTGTTTAATAAGGACATGATGGAACACCGTAGGCTACCCTTTAGCTTTTGTGAACGAATAAAGTCCTATAAAAAGTCGCCGACGGGATTGTAAACACATTTTCTAACGCATAATGTAAAAACCTATCAACGCATAATGTAAAAACAAGTCTTCTCCCTTCCTCCACGCCTGTTACTTTAACTATAGTGTCATCCATGATACCTGCCTGCCTGTCGGTTGTTGTAAGTGCGAATTAACGGTTCACCTGTATCTCAGAGCTTCTTCTTGGACAAAATGTAAACAATTACTAAATGTACCTCCACGCCCATTGACGCTAGCTAAATTCATCGGGGAAAAGCACGATGGAAACGATAGAAACACGTAAGTCATAATGATCGATGTATAAAAACCACAGCGACATATTATACACCTAGTTTTAACTAAGGTCACACTAGGATAAACGCAGGTTTCCAATATTACGGACCGTTTGTAACGTGGAAAAAACAAAGGAGAATATTTAAACATTCGGATAGATGATGTGAGTCATATTTATTTCTCTTCAAAATTCTCCCCCCAGCCCGACCTCTAAACAATATGCTGTGTATTAATTACAGAAAAAACCCCAATATTGGTTAATTTGGGTAATTTGGATTAATTTGGTTAATCATAGTGATGGTTCCTTTTGGATTTTTTTTTTTAAATTTTGGGCTTAAGTTTTAATTTTGCTTTGTTTTTCTTATATATTTATATATTTTTTTTTTTTTGGCGATTTTTGGAGAAATTTCTTTGGGAATTTTTTAATTTAATTTTGAAATTTGTTGAATTTTCTTTTGAAATTATTTGGAAACATTTTGGATTTTTTGTATTTTTGCATTTTTCTGTAATTCCTACACACAGCGTATTGTTTGGTTATTTTTTGAATTTTTTTTTTGATTGAAAATAGTTTTTTTAAATATTTTTCTGCAGTTACTACATGTACACAGGATATTTTGAAGAATATCGAAGATACAAATACGAACATGTATATAAGCATGAAACATAATTACACTCCCAATCAACATTCACATACTTAAATTTAGAAAATTGATTTTTTAGAACTGAGTTTATGGTAGAGGTTCTCGCATTATCTACGATAAATGTGAATTACCATACATGTTCTTTATGAACGAAAACAAAACAAACAAACAAACAAACGAAATAAAAAACAGGATGCAAACTTTTTCCTCGACCCCATGCTGGGAGTGTGTGACGATGTGTGGCCTTTTGACAAGGTTCAAAATAGAAACTTGTTTTCTTTTTATGGATAAGAAGACCCAAGTTGTTGGCTTTTTGGGGGAAAAGCCAAAAGTTTTTGTATGTTAAAACTAAGTATTTGTATAAAAGTGAGGTTTTTGTGCAATACGCACAACGAATCATACTTTTTATCGTAAAATGCCAAGTTTTTACATTATGCGTTGATATGTTCTTACATTATGCGTTAGAAAATGTTTTTACATTATGCGTCAAAAGTTTTTATATTATGCGTTATTTTTTTACATTAAACGTCAAACCTTTTTACATTATGCGTTAACCAATTATTTTTTTACATTATGCGTCGTTTTTACATTAACAGTTGTTACATCTACTACTGTATACTGATGTATAATCCTATATGTATACTGTATCATATACTGTACAGATGTATATTTGATGAAGGACATCGTTCCATTACAAAACATAGTGGCAAATGCGATAACAATTTAAAAAAAAAAAGAAGTCAGGTTGACGTATTTTTTAGAACACTAAAGCTTGGTTTCCTTAAAAACGCTACCGTACACTGTCGCTACAATGTTTTCACTGCAATCGTTGTACTGCATAGCAGTCCCCGACGCAACCGGGAAGGCTCCCCGATTCTACCGACCAATCAGCATCACCGAAAGCTGTCAGCGATCGTGTAGTGATTGTATGGAAACCAAACATAATACTGCGTATACTCTTGTACACTTAAGCTGCTGAACGTTACAGCCCCGCTCCAAATACTATAATAAATAAATAGTGAAATGTCTTACCATAGGCTAGTGAGTAGATCCCATATATAATTGTGAAGCTAAATGGAATGACATAATTCATACTGATGCTTGTTTTCCTGAGTCAATTTCTGTTTGCGCGTAAGACCGAACGATGTCTTCAAAGATTGTAGATGGTGTAGTTGTAGGTATTTTCAAGTACATTACTCAAATACCTATAAAAAGGCAATAGCTCGATCACCGGAGCTATTACAAACAACAACCGAACACCACCGTTCCTATGATCTCTATGTATTCTTGCACATATTTATACGTCTATCCTAATACTGAACAGTTGCTCTTGCAATATCAATCCGCATTACTATTAGTCTATAATTTTAATGTATTCGTATAAGTATACATTTTAATATCTCAATTAAACAATGATATATTATGTATGGGAAGTTTAAACTATAATTTTGTCTAAAATATAAGTATAACGATAAGATGGGATTTATTTTGTCTTTGGTTTGAACATGGTTGAATTACCCCAAGCTAACGAAGATTATTTGATAATCGATAATTAGAAGTCTGTATATATCACATGTTGTCGATCGACATAAAATACAGACATTAATCACAAAATAAAGTACACTTATTACCACTGAGGTTGTTGTGCTTTAATACCATAATCTGCCACCAATCATTCGTCTGTCTTTGTCATATTTTATGCAGCGTTTCATTGCATCTATTAGTTTTATAATTGGTTTCGTTATCTATATAAAATGTACCGTACGGTATTGCTTGTTCTCAATCTCAATCGTTGATCATAATAAAATATTAATATCACTGTGCATAGTGTAATGAATGTTGTATATAATTTGATATACGATGCAATTAAGGTACTGCCAAATAGATCTTCTTTTATATCCTAAAACGCCAAAGTTTTCCAAGTTTAATCTTCCTTACAATGTTGTTTTATTCTTGTGTAATTTTATTAGGTCATACATTTTTCTCCACTGCAATTTTAATTAATAGGGGTGAAAGTGTACGTCTATATAATATACAAACTTCATTTAGTCTAAAAATTATACAATAATATTTAATACTTGTTCGATTAATAAACAATCATTCTTCAACAGTATGATAGTAGTAAATGATAGTTCCGATGCGTCGTACTTGTAATTTAAAGCGATGTATAATATGCTGGGTACAATTTATTGTAACCAGCTAACAATGTTACATTATAAGAACGTAATAATAACGTTACAACTTGGTGTTGAAAACGTCATTTTGTAGAACCATTGCGTCCGTAGAATTTCACAACGTCATAACGTTTGAACGTTCTTGCATCCTTGTGTAAATGTTATTTTGTGACATATATATTCGATTTTTCAATCTATAACAGTAATTCACTTCTTCAAATTTAGGATAGAGTTTTGTAGATTTTGTAGATTTATAAAACTCCTATAGCCAACATACAGTGCCAGCATGATTATGAAACTTCCTAGCCTAGAACATAAAGTACCAGACTAGAAGCATGATGTTTAGATGACACTTCCAGGCCTACATGCAGTGCATACCCAGCATGATGTTATGGAACTTTTTAACCTAGAGCATGCCGTGCCTATAGCATCATAGGCACTATTTTCTTTATTTTATGTTATTGTATTCAGTATGTTATATATTTTTATTGTAAGTTTTATTATAATCATTTATCACTTACATAATAATAATAATAATAATAATAATAATAATAATAATAATAATAATTATTATTATTATTATTATTATTTTATTATTATTATTGTAATATTTGTTGTTATCATTGCTATTACCGTATTATTATAAGTTATAATCATTAATATTAGTATCAATAATCTTAGTATTATTTTTATAATTATACTGTAAAGGAGCAGTAAGATAAAATGTACTGTAATGTATTACAATGTTGCTATTATTGTTAAGCTAGATTGTTAATCTTCATTAAGTAGGCCTAATATGATACAAATTTTGACTAAGTACGGTAATAATGATGAAAAGAGGTGGTACATTTCACAATGGTCATGCAACACTTCAATGTTTGTGTTTTGTATTTATTATTGCGTACACAGTACAGTATGCACTATGTAGGCTTATCAATCAGTCCCCCGGACAAATTTTAGCGGCTAAAATCGGTCCCCCGAACAGATTTTAGCCCGGACCAATTTTGGCGTGAAAGGCCTACGGTATTTGTTTTAAAACCCTCGGTCACCTCAGCGTTAGAGGATTCCCCCATACAGTGGTGGATTCAAGGGGAAATTTTCCATGGGGAGGACCCCCGGGCCCCTTTCATTTTGGGTATTTTTGGAAACGTTTTGAACCCCCTCCCCCTTTTTTTTCAAATCCTGGATCCGCCGCTGGACGCGATTTTTTTTTCCGTACGAAACATTTACATGAAACTCCACTCGGGCCGTCTCGGCTGAATCGACCCGAAATTCTCATTGCAGAATTCAGGAGGTCAAAAGGTCATCAACAGATAAACGTCTACAAA